GGCCTCTACTCTTCCTCTTGACCTAGGTCATGTTTGCCAACACCTCAGGAAGATATGGGGGAACTATGATAGACTCTCTTCAGTCAGCATGATACCCTAGACACCCCATCTGTAACCCTGAGGGTGGGGAGGGAGAAGGGTGGATCTGGGGATTCCCCCACAAAGTTATGGGAAGATCTGAGCTTTAGATGCTTACACTCTTCCCCTGATGGGGAGCTCACCTCTTCACGGGACACCACTGGCTTAACCCTGTGCCTTTACAGAAAGCCAACCTCATCCAGTCCCTCCCCCTCCTCCAGGTCATTGGAGCTAAGGGCTCTCAGTCCAGGTATGGGACCCCACTGGGCTCTGGCAGGCCCGGAACTGCCCCAAGGCACATAGCCTCTCCCCACCTGGAACCCTGGAATGTTCCTGTGCCTTTAAAGCCGCCCTCCCCCACTCCTCGGGGTGTGGGGCAGGGAGGGGAGGAGCAGTCTCTGCTGGGGATCGGGCTCAGTTCAGTGCAGGAGTACAGCAGGACTGACCAGAGCCTGGTGAGCCAAGACAAGCCTTTGTGTAGTGGAAGTCTGGCCGAGACCCAGCGCTGTGTGACCCCTGAAGTTCCAATCACCCTCTCTGAGCTTCTGGATGTTGTAGGTAGGAGAGGTCAGGCTTGGGGCCTCAGAGGAACTCCAGATGGGCCATATGCTCAGCTACATTCTGGGGAGGCATCCCTTCATGTGTGAACCTCAGTTTTATGCAGCTGAGAAATGGGCTTGAACTGCTCACGGGGAAGAGCGGAGTATCAGGTGTCAGCTGAGCCTTAGGTCTCTTTGTCCAGACTTGTCCAGAGGTCTCAGTTTCTTCTCTGGTAAATGGGTTTGAGACCACTTGTTCAGGCTGTCTGACTTACTTTCAGGTGTATGGAAAAGGTTTGGGAGAGGAGCTACCTGATTTATCTGAAGAACCTTCTGAGGAAACCAGGCAGGAAGTAGAATTCTTGGAATTAGAAAGGAAAAGTACCCAGCTGCAAGGAGAACTGAGACCCTGGGGTTGGGGCAGCTCTGGAGTGATGAGGAGCTGGTATAGAGGCTGAGAACCACCCTGTGCATGGTCCTGCTTGCCCTAGATGGGTGCTGACTTCAGCTGTGATGGGGTGTGGGGCAGGCAGGGTCAGATTCCAGGGGGCGTCCAGACACCTGTGATCATTACCAGTACCTATGGCTCTTGGGACAGTTTCACACCTGGCAAGTAGTAGCATCGCTTTCTGACTTTTTCTAACTCAACTTAATACCACCAGAGGGGAGGTGGAGAACAAGTCTGGGCCTGGGAAGTGGTGAGGGACTGGCAGGGCTGGTGGGAGTGCTGGCCCACCGTTGGCTCCTTCTACCACCTTCCTGTTCAGCTGACGTGGGGACATCAGACCTGCCTAGGCTTCTGTTTACTGGCCTGACTGACATCGCTATGGAGTTGTGGTGGCTGACACAGCATGGGCCGGGCTGCTGGATTAACAGGGAAAGTCTAGCTGGCTGTTCTGTCATTTCTTCCTCCTTCCTGCATCCTGGGAGCCCCTCTGCTCAGATTCAGCTTGGAGTCATGTGTGTATGGGTGTGTGTGTGTGTGTGTGTGTGTATATTGAGAGGTAGGGAGTGGGTGAGACTTGTACATCCCCAGGGACAGGGAGCTCACCACTATCTGTGGCCCAGGACGGGAACCCTGGAGTGTAGAGTAGACCTCCAGCCTAGCCCCCAAAGTCATTGCTGGACTAATGTGATTTCTCCAGACCCACCATATCCCAGGGCCCTCTCTGTGCATTTAGGGGCATGGTGCTGAATGTGCTCCTTCATTCTGTACTTTATACCTCTTTTGATACATCCTTTGATGAAGATTCTCCCCTTTGGGGGGGAACCTGCAGTTGCTGCCAAGTGTTATCTGTGCCCCACTGCAGAATGGCCTCTGTCTCCCATCTTGCCCCAGCCTGCGTTTTCCTGTTGGTGTCTGAGCTGCCTCCTCTGTTCCCTGAGTCTGCTGATCCTAACAAGCCTGGGTTGTTCTGGGCAGAAATGTCCTGACTTCCTTGATGCCCACCACTATCCACTCTTCTAGTCAGCCTGGCCTGCAAGAAGAAGCTAAGCAGGGAGAAGGCTCCCGCCCATCAGTGCCTCCAAGGCTGATGGTGATGCCAGGAAGGTGTGGTGGATTCTGTCCAGAGTTGGCCCCATGTGCTGGATGACAGACCAGGTGCTGGTCTTGGGACCAGGGCTCAGAAGCACACCTGCCAGATGGGTTAGACTATGCGTCACAGTTGGGGGCTGGTTGGCGAGACTCTGGTGTCACTGTGGGTTCTACATTGCACTGCTAACTATAAGGTCTACAGTTCAAACCTACCAGCCACTTTTCAGGAGAAAGATGAGATTGTTTCTGTCAAGATTTATAGTCTCGGAAATGCTAGAGTCTGAATCATCTTGATGGCAATGAGTTTTAGTTTGGGGGCTAACTGGAGGACAACAAGCCTGGGGTGGGGACATGACTCAGGAGGTGCTGACCCTTGTCCTTGGCAGAGAGGGGTGGGGAGCAGTGTCCAAGGTCCAGACTCTGGGCTGATTAGGGACACACAGCCATAGGGAATAGGGGCCATGTGGGCTGGGAGCAGCTCAGGTTCCTTGGAGCCTTGGCCTTTCTGAGCAGCGCAAGCTCTTCCCCTGGCCTCAGGCGCTAACGTTCCTGGACTGGTGGAGGAACCGGTCGTGGTGTTCGTGGCTACGGGCGATGTTCCAGGGAGGAACCGTGCTTCTGAGTTCAGGGTGTGGGACGCCTTCCAGGTCTGAGTTCTGGCCTGGCACTGTTGGGAACCTTTCCTAGGGTTCCAGATCCTCTGAGCAGAGATCAAAGAGCTGGTAGGTAGGAGTAGTTAACCAGGGGACCCCACTGTCTCTGGAAGGAATAGAGTCTGCAAGACTCCTGCCCAGGCCCTTCCAGCATGTCCAGAACTTGTGTCACTGGTGACAGCCCAGTTCCTGCACTGCCTTACAGCCATGTGTGGCCCCCAGGGTCCCCCTAGTCAGTTGCACCTCTCCTGGGGGTCTGCTGCTTTTGTTTTGGGGGATTCTGGGCATTGCCTAGGCTTCTCTGTAGCCCCTCCTTCTCAGAGATGCCTGTCCTGAACCCCAATTCCATACCAGAGGCCCCTTGAGTTGCCCTGCAGGAGGCGCGGGCGTGGCTCCAGGATGCTCCTGGGGAGGGGAGGGTGGGTGCGGCTGACGCTGTGGCTGAGATTTCCCAGACGTCCAGTCAGCCTCCTTCCCAGCCTAACCCCTGCTGCCGTCTGAGGGAGAGGGGCTTGCCAGTCCTGCTGCCGGGCCTCAGGTAAGCAGGGCAGCCTGGATTTCAGGACATGTATGGTGACCTACTTTCTGGCCTCAGTTTCCCTTCCTGACTCCAGCTTGGGTTCAAGCCAGTCCTTTGGGCTTGGACATTCTGCTATCTTTGAGAACCTGGGGAGTGGAGGCTGGAAAGCGGAAGCCCATTCCCCCAGCAGGGTGTCTTCCGCTGGGCTGGAGATGCTGCCTTTGGGGGTTGGGCAGCCCTCCTGTTATCTGCTAGCTAGGGCCCTTCCTCCACTCCCCAGCATGTAAGGAGGAACCGTCCCCCACCCCCAGGGCCCTTGGGTGGACAAATGGACAGATGTATAGACAGGGAGGGTGGCGTGGGGGGTGAGGAGGTCATGGCTTCAACTCTGACCCCATGGCTTTGGAGGGGTGAGCCCATACCCCCTTGAGGCCCAGCCACAGGTGACCAGTTAAACAGAAGCTCTGGGTCTCCTGCAGGGAGGGTTGGCCATCCCCACCCCACCCCACCTGGCCAAGTATGCTGGGAATGTTCAAGTCTGAGGGCAGGTGTGAGCTTCTGGGCCCTCCACTAGAGCCTGGAACCCCAACCCAGCCCACTGTGTGCCAGCATTGGGGGACACAGCCTGATGGGTACTTGGGGGAATATTTAGGGGGAGCAATGCCAGGCCCCTGTTCTCTGAAGTCACTGTCCTATACCTCTCTCTCCCTTGGGGTCAGAACCTAGGGCTGCTTCTGTCCACAGGCTGACAGGGGGCTAACAGGAAAATGACCCAAGAGTCCAAGGGTGGCTGCTGCAGGCTCCTCGAGGAGTCCTAGTACTTTCCAAGTGCCGTATCTGTCCTAACCCTGGGGCATGGGGTGGTCGGTATGCCATTCCAGCACTGTTGAAGCAGGTGGCCAAGGCCCACACTGCACTTCCTGACTCTGTGCTACTGCTCAGCCCTCCAGCTTTGCTCACTTCTGGAGCACTTAGGCCTACCTACTGCCATCGAGTCCATTTCCACTCACAGCGACCCTAAAGGACAAGGAGGACTGCTCCCTAGGAGTTGTGAGGCTGTCCGTCTTTACAGGAGAAGACTGCCTCATATTTCTCCTGAAGACTGTCTGATGAGTTTGAAAATTGCCATTCTTTGGGCAAGAACCCCAACACTTAGCTCACTGTACCACCAGGGCTCCTGGGAGAAAAGCCGGAAGTAATCATGTGTGCCTCAGTCTCCCAAGCTGCTCTGGGAGCAGACAGGAACTGAGCAGAGGGAGGGTAGGCAGGGTGGCCTCAGGGACCCCTCCATTTTACAGGAGAAGCAGAGGGCTGTCACAGCGTGAGGGAGACGCCGGTTATTTTGCCAGCCATCTCAGTCAAGCCCTCCTGATTTGCTGTGCCAGACTCAGGGCCCTCACTCACTTACAGGAGGTAAGTACTGTCCCTTGGGGAACACAGTGGGGTGCCTCCTTAAGGGGCTGTGGGCAGTCCAAGGGAGGGGATTGCAGAGGGTGGTCCTTCCCAGAGGGCAAAGCTAAGGATGACAGGGGACTAGTTGTGGCAGCAATGAGACCAGGCAATTCTGGCTGAGGAAAGGTTTAGAGGTCTCAGGGAGACCTGAGCCACATTTCTGAGGCCTAGAATCTAGGCTGGGGTGAGCCTGACCTTGCTTGCCATCCATGTCTAGAGCAATGAAGAAGCGATATGCAGTTCTGGGCCTGTTGGCTGTGGTCCTGGTGGCCCTCATCGTTGGCCTCAGCCTCTGGCTGCCCTCGTCCTCCCAGCAGCCCCACCATGTGTATCCCAGGGCGGCCGTGGCCACAGACGCCAAGCACTGCTCAGAGATTGGGAGGTAAGTAGGACGGTCTGTCCAGGGCAAGGTTTGAGCAGCACTCGGCTGGGCCCCATTCTCAGCTCCAAGGCTACCTGTCGATTAGTAATTTTGTATCAATTCCTATCCCGCATTATGTACAAAACCCAACACCACCAATTACCACTGAGTTGATTCCCTCTCACAGCACCCCCATGTGGGTCAGCGTAGAACTGTGCTCCACAGGGTATTCAATGGCTGGTATTTTGGTAATGATCACCAGGACTTTCTTCTGAGGTGCCTCTAGGAGGACTTGGACCTTCAACCTTTCGCTTGACAGTCATGCTTTAACCACTTGTACCACCCAGGGACAAAAACCAATTTTCACTTAACTGAAGGCTAACAGAAAAAAAAACATATACTGTTACTAATGACAACACTTTGTAATTCTTTTTTCCTATGACAGAGTTATTTTAGCTTGAAAAAGAAGACAATGGTGTGGCGCTGTGGGTTAATGTGCTGGACTTGCAAAGTCTATTTGAACCACAAGGTTGGCAGTTCAAGTTCACCAGTTGCTCCTTGGAAACCTTATATAAGGTTGCTATGGGTCGGAACAACTCGACAGCATTTAACGACAATAACAATGTCCCTAAATGAAAATCCAAACCCAGTGCAAATGAGTTGACTCCAACTCACAGTAATCCCATGTTGTTTTTGTGAAGTGCCATAAAGTCGGTTCTGACCCATAGCGACCCTGTACAGGGTTTCCGAGGAGCAGCTGGTGAGCTTGAACTGCCGACCTTGCAGTCAAAATGCCTTTGCAGTCTGGTGCATTAACCCACAGCACCACACCAGCAACACTACAGGACAGAGTAAACTTGCTCCTTAGGGTTTCCAAGACTAAATCTTTACAGGAGTAGACAGCCTCACCTTTCTCCCTCGGGACAGCTTGATCCACTATGCCACCAGGGCTCCTTATAAAGTCCCTGTTGTTGTTATTAAGTGCCATCGATTCGATTCTGACTCAGAACGATATTGTATAGGGTTCCGAAAGTGGTTGGTAGGTTGGAACCTTGCAGTTAGGAGTTCCACACTAGGACTCCTATAAGGTCCCTGTTGTTGTTGTTAAGTGCCATGGAGTCAGTTCTGACTCACAGAGACTCTATATAGAGTTTCTGAGGTTATAAATCTTTTCGGGAGCAGAAAGTCTCATTTTTCTCCCGAGAAGCAGATTGAACCACTGACCTTATAGTTCACAGCCTAGTGTTTATCCTATAGTGCTACGAACTCCCTGTAAGATCCCTGTTGTTGTTGTTAAGTGCCTTCAAGTTGTTTCCAACTCATAACAATCTCGTGTAGGGTTTCTGAGGAGCAGCTAGTGGGTTTGAACTGTCAACCTTATGGTTCGTAGTCCAGTGCTGATCCTACAGTGCCACACCAAGAGTCCATAAGATCCCTAGGTAGTGCTAATACATTGGTGGTTCTGATTGTTGTTGTTGATGCTGAGTTCTGACTCATAGTGACCCTGCATAGGGTTTCCAAGAAGAAGCTTGTAAATTCAGATTACAGCCATGAAAAATGTATGGAGTAGTTCTACTTTGTAATGTATGGGTCACCATGAGTTAGAATCCACTAAACAGCATGGATTTGTTTGATTTCTAAGCCCATCAAAACTGGCTGCAGCAGTACATCTGCAACAGTGGCTCAAACATACCAACAGTTGTGAAGTTGCGAATGGTATAGAACTTGGCAGTGTTTTGTTCTGTCGTACATAGAATATTGAACCCATTGTTGCTGTCACTGGGTCTAACCATCTTGTAGGGGGGGTGGGTTTCCTCTTTTTTATTGATTCTCCACTTTACAAAGCATGATGTCTTTGTCCAGGGTCTGGTTTTTCCTGACAACATGTCCAAAGTATGAGAGACAAAGTCTTACCTTCCTTGTATTTGAGGAGCATTCTGGCTGTACGTTTCTAAGACAGATTGGTCTGTTCTTCCGGCAGCCCATTGTACTTTCACTATTCCTCACCAACATCGTAATTCAAATGCATTGATTCTTTACAGTTTCCTTATTCATTCTCCAACTTTCAAATGCATATGAGGTGGTTGTAAACCATGTAATTGTCCAATTCAAAATGGCCAATACCAGTTCATTTCAGCTCACTGATGCCCAGGATATCGATGTTCCATTTCATTTTTGGCGACTTTCAATTCTCCTAGATTCATACTTCATACACTCCATGTACACATTAATTACTAATGGGTGTTTACAGATGTTTCTTCTCATACTGAATTGTGCCTCATCAGCAAATGAAGGTCCCGAAAGCTTTGCTCCAGGCCACTCAAGTCAAGAGGCAGCTCTAACCCGGTTGTATTTTGAGTGCCTTCCAAACTCAGAGGCTCATCTTTCAGCACTATATCTGACATGTTCTACTGCTATTCATAAGGTTTTCAGTGGCTAACCATTCAGAAATAGTCCACCTCTCCTTCTTCCTAGTCTGTCTTAGTCTGGGAACTCCACTGAAACCTGTCCACTATGGGTGACCCTGCTGGTATTTAAAATACTAGTAGAATAGCTTCCAGCATCACAGCAACACACAAGCCACCACAGTACAACACACTGACAGCTAAGTATTGGTTTTAAAGTTACATGTCTAATTTTAAAAGGGCATTTCTATGGGATCCTCTTTATCATTAATAATATCATTAATATTACATGTAAGTAAAATTTTACTGAAGATAATTCAAAACTGGCTGCAACAGTACATCAACAGGTAACTGATCCAGAAGAGGACATAGACCGAGGGTTATCATTGCAGACGTCAGATGGATCTTGGCTGAAAGCAGAGAATACCAGAAAGATGTTTACTTGTGCTTTATCGTCTATGCAAAGTCTCTCAGCTGTATGGATTATGACAAGTTATGGACAACATTACGAAGAATGGGTGTTCCAGAACACTTGACTGTACTCATGAGGAACCTGTACACAGACCAAGAGGAAGTCCTAACAGAACAAGGAGCTACTGAATGGTCTAAAATCGGGAAAGGTGTGTATCCTTTCACTAAACTGATTCAATCTGTATGCTGAGCAAATAATCCAAGAAGCTGAATTATATAAAGAAGAATGTGGCATCGAGATTGGAAGAAGACCCTCATTAGTAACCTGTGATATGATGTAGATGATATAGCCATGTTTCCTGGAAGTGAGTAGGATTTAGAATACTTATTGACGAAGATCAACGACTACAGCCTTCAGTATGGATTGCTCCTCAATGTAAAGAAAACAAAAATCTTCACTACTGGACCAATAAACAACATCGTGATAAATGGAGAACAAACTGAAGTTGTGAAAGACTTCATTTTGCTTAGGTCCACAGTCAACACTCATGGAATCAGTAGTCAAGATAGCCAATGATCTGCTGCACAAAATCTCAGTAAAGTGTTCAAGAGCAAAGATACTAGTTTGAGGATTAAGGTGTGTCTGACCTAAGTCATAATATTTTCATTTGCCTCATATGCATGTGAAAATTGGACAATGAATCAAGAAGACCTTAGAAGAATTGATACATTCGAATTATGATGTTGGAGAAGAATATTAAAAGTTGCGTGGACTGCCAAAAGAACAAACATATCTGTGTTCAGAGAAGTACAGCTAGAATGCTCCTTAGAAGCTGGGATGGTGAAACTTTGTCTCTCATACCTCAGACATGTTATCAGGAGGGACTAGTCTCTGGAGAAGGACATCATGCTTGGTAAAGTGGAGGGTCAGCAAAAAAGAGAGTGGACCCCAATGGAATGGATTGGCACAATGACAGCAGCAATGGACTCAAATGTAAGAACAGTGGTGAGGATGGTGCAGAATCGGGCAGTGTTTCGTTCTGTTGTGCATAGGGTAGCTATGAGTCAGAATTGACTCAATGGTACTTAACAACAACAACATGGTAACGTCTTAAAGGAGCCCTGGTGGTGGTGTAGGTTAAGTGTCAGATTGCTAACTGCAAGGTTGGGAGGTTGGAACCCAGCAGCTACTCCATGAGAGAAACATAAGACTGTCTGCTTCCTTAAATATTTACAGCCTTGGATACTGACTGGGGAGCAGTTCTACTCTACCTTAAAGGGTCACTATGAGTCAGAATATACTCAAGGGCAGTAGTTTTGTTTTTAATTTTACAGCCTCCTTCAAGTCCCTCCTTTGGGCAGGGTGGGTGCAGGAGGTGGGGCCTGCAAGTCCTCACCATTCCTAACATGCAGGGACATGCTGAGGGATGGCGGCTCGGCGGTGGATGCTGCCATCGCGGCGCTGCTGTGCGTGGGGCTCATGAACGCCCACAGCATGGGCATCGGAGGTGGCCTGTTCCTTACCATCTACAACAGCACCACGAGTGAGTGCCTGGGGGGTAGGGGGCGAGTGGCACATCGTGGGTAGTCCATCTGGGGCAGAACTTCAGCTTTAGGAAGTTCCTGGGCTCATATGGGGTGAAGATTCTGGTGTTGGTCTGACCTGCCTACTACATGCTTCTCCTTCCAGAAAAAGCCGAGATCATTAATGCCCGAGAGGTGGCCCCTGAGATGGCCTCCACCACCATGTTCAACAACTCAGACGAATCACAGAAAGGTAAGGGCACAGGTCCTTCCCCAAGTGACCCATTCATGCCTAGAACCTGAGGGACAACTCTGGCAGCTGCTGGACCCAGACCACCGTCCCATAATAGATGGCCAAGGCCATTATCATAGGGGTAAATGGTTGGGACATGTGTTACTCTGCTCAGGCTTCTCCAGACTCACTCTGTATGAGGAAAACTAGGCTTCAAACCAGTTCCATCATGGCCAACAAAGCAATATTAGAAGAGAACTGAATTTTTAAAATGTGAGTATATCAAAACAATAACTGGCATGTGAAAAAATGCCAAGTCAGAGCCCTGAAATGGGAGATTCAGGAGAGGCATGGTGAGCCCTTTCTGCCTGATGCATGAGATTGGATTATTGGCAAGACTGTGGAGAGCAACACACATTCAAAGCATCAAGGTTGGCTGCTATCTTTGAGCTGTTGTTTCTGATTATAAGAAAAAGATTTAGTTGCTATGCAATTCGCATGCTGCCCCTATTTTCTAAGAAAGAGATTAAGCTTCTAGCAGGGTTTCAACAGGTAATTTTCCCCATTCTGGTTTTCATGCAGTTCACCCACATTTTTTTTTTTTAAATGTTTTATTGTGAATTATGTGATATGGGAGAACATTAGCTTTATATTCATCCTATCGTGTATCATTTCATTGCCATGATTACAATCCCCTCCATGCATCATCAACAAACCCCGCAAACCTCAGCATACAGCCCCTTTCCCTCTCTGGGTCTACAGTCCCCAGCCGTTCCATCTTTCCATATCATCATCTCTGCCTCCATCTTTGGCATCACTGTTTCTCTGGGTAAGGTCCCACACTCCCGCTCTTCTCCCTTGATGGTCCCAGGGACCTCCGCTTCTGGACTGCAAAGTCAATCACTCCCCTCCTTTTGCTACAGATCGTCTACCTTTACATTTCCAACCCTCACAGTCAGTCCTGACAGCAATTATTCACTATTGTGCCACATGAGTGCTATCCCCAACTCCTTTCATCAGCCCTGCCCAGACAGATAGTTAACCCACATTTTAAAAATTCTGGTCTGTTTCGATTTCAAGGAGCCCTGGTGATTCAGTTACGTGTTGGGTCTGCTAACTGCAAGGTCTGCAGCCTCAGAAACCCTGTGGAGCAGTTCACCTCTGTCCCGTAGGGTTACTGTGAGTCAGAATCTACTTGACGGCAGTGGGTTTGTGTGTTGTTTCAATTTCGCTTTGTTGGCCATAACTGTGCTCAAAGTCCCAAAGGAAAAATAACCATATTCCTATAGCTCACACATACAGGAGCCACTTGGCCAGCACTCTGCACTTGTCACCAGTGAGCCCCTTGAATCTTCCCTGTTCTCTTAGATGGGGTGCCATGGGGATTCCCATGGGCTTGCTAAGGTCCAGAGGGATCTTGAAAATTGGCTGGCAGGTGGTGAAGCTGGTATTGAACCCAGGCTGTCTAAACCCCAGAGCTTGCATTTTAAATACCCCAGAGCTTGCATCCTGAACACCCATCCATCCCTTTGTTTGTGGAATTGTTCTCTAGGGTTTGGGACTGGGACTCCCTTTTCTAACCTGGGCCTAAGCAGAGACAGAAGAAAATACGACTTAACTCTGAGTCAGCTCCAACACATAGAGACCCCACATGTGTTAGAGGAGAAGTGTGCTCCCTAAGATTCTCAAAGTGTTGATGTTTGGGGGAAGTAAATCACTAAGTCTTTCTTTTGAGGTGCCTCTTGGTGGACTCAAACCTCTAAGCTTTGGGTTACTAGTGAGACTGTTAATTGCACTACCCAGAGACTCCTTAGCTAGAAAGGGGGAGCAGTGGCCACCAAGGGGTGCCGGCTAGGCTAAGGGATAACAAGGTGGAGGAGACAGGGCTGGGTCTGATCCCCCAGCTATAGGCTCTGGCCTGTAAGTGAAGTCCACCACCACTACAACACAGAATCTTTATATTTCATCAACTGAGAGAGTTAGAATGTGTGCAGATGAAATCATTTAGAAAATAAGAATGCAGGAATCTGATACTTAGCAGCCTCAGTTGGTCTGCGAGAGAAAGATGAGGCAGTCTGTTGCTGTAAAGATTAATCCTATGGGGGCACTTCTACTCTGTCCTATAGGGCCCCTATGAGCCAGAATTGACTTGACAGCAGTGGTGGTGGTGGTGGGAATTCTGGATGACCCCTTGGAGGAGTTGGAAGGCCCCCATTATCTCAGGGTGGAAGTGGACGGGGGTCATTGCTGTCCCTTTCAGGGTAGATGGGAGCACTCTCATGGGAGCAGGGTAGAGTTTCCAGTAGAATCATGGGCTTCGCAAAGATGTGATGGGAAATATCAGCCCACAGAGGGGACAGGGCAGAGATTGGCTCTAGGTTGTGGGAAAGCAAGCCCTTGCCATGGACTAGCTCAGCCTTGGGCTCTGAATGATGCTGGTGGAACCCATGAGTCTTATGGGATAAAATGCTTCCCTACAGCCTTGCTGGGCACCAGTAATTCAGTCACATACACCTCTGTAAAACCCAGTACCCACGCTATCACCTCTCCCTTCATGCCTGACATGCCCCATAGGATCTCAGGACCTATCTCCTTCCTGAGTTCTTCTGGCTCCATATAAATGGGTGGCAGGGAGGTGTCCGGGACACTGCCCACAGAGGCCTTCACATCCCCTCGTGTCTTTCCCCTGGACCTGTCTTTCTGTAGGGGGGCTGTCCGTGGCTGTCCCTGGGGAGATTCGAGGATACGAACTTGCACACCGGCGGCATGGCCGGCTGCCCTGGGCCCGCCTCTTCCAGCCCAACATTAAGCTGGCCCGTGAGGGCTTTCCTGTGGGGAAGGGTCTGGCTGCAGCCCTGGAGAGTACCCGGGACACCATTGAACAGGAGCCCACACTGTGGTATGTCTATGTGTGGCCAGGTCCCTGGGGTGTGGCCTTGGGGACCCTACCGTGATGAGCTGATGAAGACACAGGGCAAGTCATTCCTACCATGCATGGGGATGCATCCTGAGCATGCGTCTGAGTGCCCCAGTGGGCCCTGGGATGAGCCTGGGTGGGATGGACTGTCAGGGAGGGGGATCCAGGAGAATGTCCCTGTGAAGAGGACTGGCAGTGACCATTCTATGGCCTCATTTTCCTGGTGTGGTTGGGCTGGTAGGCGAAGATCCCCGCTACAGCCCACCTCACCTGAACACCCTCTGTCCAGCGAGGTATTTTGCCGGGATGGGAAGGTTCTGCGGGAGGGGGAGCGATTGACCATGCCGAAGTTGGCTGACACGTACGAGATACTGGCCCGGGAGGGCGCCCAGGCCTTCTACAACGGGAGCCTCACGGCCCAGATTATTCAAGACATCCAGGCAGCTGGTAAGGGGCAACTCAAGCAGAGACAGAGCTTCACACAAGAACCCGGGCTGAGGGCTGGGGTGGGTGGGGGTCCAAGGTGGGAGGCTGGGTTGGGCAGGGCTCGTAGGAAGTGGCAGGGTCAGTGCCAGGGGAAGTTGCAGCTCCTACTTAGATCAATGCAGAGAGACTGTGCCATCGCAGACAAAGCCCCCATGGAAGATGGAGGGGAGAACACTAAGGTACAGATAGAGATATCCAGTAGGATTCCTTGAGAGATGGTGCCTGAGCTGCAGATGGGGCGCACTCTGTCAAGCCGAGAAAGGCATGGCATTTGGGCTTCATTCAGCAGGAGGGCTGCATGGGTTCTCCAGTGAGAGGCATGTATGTGTGTCTACAGAAAGACAAAGAGAGGAGGTTTCCTGTAAGCAAGTGGCTCATGCAATGGCAGGGCTGCTGGTCCAAAAGCCATAGGCAGGGGATGGGGGCAGACAGTGATGGGAAGAGTGCAGGGTTGAGAGAGCTGGCATCGTTCCATCCCCTCCACCATGGCTCAGTCCTGTCTCCACCCTTGCAGGGGGAATTGTGACTGCCAAAGACCTGCACAACTACCATGCGGAGCTCATTGAGCACCCACTGAATGTCAGCCTCGGGGACTCGGTTCTCTACATGCCTAGCGCCCCCCTCAGCGGACCTGTGCTGGCCCTCATCCTCAACATCCTCCAGGGTGAGCAGCCCTGGTCTCAGAGGCCCCTGCTCTCCTATACACATGACTGAGCGCCCACATGAAGCACAAGTGCCTACAGAGGGCAGTGCTGCATCATGTCCTGGGGGTGGAGACAGTCATGCAAATGCAGGAGTTCAGGGCTGGACAAGCCCTTCTCCAGCCTTCCCCTCACAGCAGCCCCTAGATGGTCACTGCTGGCTATTTAAGTTTTAGCTTTTCCCTTCTTGAGGTGAGCAAACACACTCAGGAAGGGAGATGTGAGTTGCCCAGGACATCCAAGGCAGAGTGGTAGGTGTCCCTGGGGGCCTGCCAACATCCCTCGTCTCTGCCCAACCAGGATACAACTTATCCCGAGCCAGCGTGGAAACCCCCGAGAAGAAGGGCTTGACATACCACCGCATTGTGGAGGCCTTCCGGTTTGCCTACGCCAAGCGGACCCTGCTGGGGGACCCTAAGTTCGTCAACATGACTGAGGTAAGGGACACCCCAGCCTCAGGCTGCCTTTGCTAATACACTCAGTCCCCAGACTCTGTGTCAGGATGGAATTTGGACTGAGGCCTGGAGAGAATCCTGTCTTCACAGATCTGTGGGTGGGTGGGGTGGGGAGACAGGTTCCACAACCAGTTCTTACCAACCCCTGCTCTGGCCACCCTTCCACTTGGGGACTCTGCTTCTAGGCTCTGTGGTCACATAAGGTGAGGACAGCCCAGAGCCAGTGGGTTTCCCCAGGAACCAACATACTTCCCAGATGCCCATTCCTCACATCCTTTCTTGCATAAGTAGACACTCAAGTCCCTCCTTGACATCCTTGTCATCCATGGCCAACACTTGGGTAGACCTGCAGACCCCCTCCCTCTCTGCTTCCCCCCTGATCTCCTTGCCTCCCACTCTCTCCTTGTGTCTTCCACCCCCACCTCAGCCAGTGGTCTGGTTTCTTGTCTTCGGGAGGTGATAGGTGCTGTGCCTTCTCACCTGGCTTCCGGAGGAGATGATTCCTGTATTACTCACCCTGGGTTTGCCTTCAGGGCCTGCCCCTCTCTGACCTCATCTCAGTCCCTTTGTAATAGTTCCTTCCGTGGAGAGACATGCACTGTTCTCACTCCCAAAGGAGTCCTTGACCTGACTGGTGCAAGGAGTTATGTGCTGGATTACTAACCAAAAGGTTGGCAGTTTGAAACCACCCAGAGGTGCCTTGAAAGAAAAGCCTGGTGGGTGATCTGCTTCTAAAAGTCCACAGCCATTGAAATGCAGCACAGTTCTGCTCTGCACATGCGTTGCTGTGAGTCAGCAACAAATGTTCCCCAAACCTACTGGACCACCCATTCCTCCTGCAGGACCCTTCAGCGCAAACATGACCAGTCACCTACCTCTTCTGCTCTGACCTGTCTCTTGTGGGGCTCCAGTCCTCTCCATCCAGCCTCAGTTTTCCCTCCAGACCCCTCAAAGTAACATCTTACCCAACATACCACACAGTCCCTCTCACCCCAACTTTGCATTTTGCAAACTTTCACACCTTAAGCATTGGGCTATTAACTGAAACATCTTTGGTTTGAACCCACCCGTCACTTTGCAGGAGAAAGATGAAGCTGTCTGTTCTTGGAACGTTTTACAGTCTTGGAAACCCTGGGGGTGGGGAGAGGGGCAGTGCTACTCTGCCCTATAGGGTGGCTTTTGAGTCTGAATCCACTTAAGAGCCAACTCATGGTGTAGAACTCTGACTCCTTTCTTCCATAGTATCTCTGGGTAGGTTCAAACACCAACCACTTGGTTAGTAGCCAAGCGTTTCACCTTTTGTACCATCAGCAGTGTGAGTACAGCCACACTTCCTCCTCTGCCAGCCCCTATTACCTGCTTTTCTGGGTCACTTGGCAGCAGTATCAGCACTGACTCTCAAGGCTGTATCTTTCAGAATGAGGGCATCTCTGACAGCACATGTATGACTACATTTCCCCTGGGGTCAGGCCTGTTAGATCCAGGGTCACACAGGCTCATACTTGGCAGTTCTTCTCTGGCTCTCTAGTCTTGCACTGAGACTAGACCCCTTGGCTACTCTGGGAATATTTTGCAACCCAGAGCCATTCCCCTGAAGAATGTCCACCAAACTCAAATCAGCTCACTGCCAGTGAGTCCATTCCAACTCATAGCAACCCTATTGGACAGAGTAGAATTGTCCCATAGGGTTTCTGAGGTTGGCAATGTTTACGGAAACTGACTGCCTCAGCTTCTGGAGGGGCTGGTGGGTTTGAACAACCACTGACCTTACAGTTAGCACCTGAACACTGCTCCACCAGGGCTCCATAATGTCCACATCCTAGGATAAGCAGAACTCCAGGGGTACTGGTATTGTTTAAAACTTCATGACTGTCTCAGGGGCCATAGGAATCTTATTTATTGATTAATCAGCCTTTTATTTATTTATGTAAGATTTCTTATACAAGGCAGTCAAAAACATTTCTGAATATCATAATTCACCATTGCTATTAGAGAAAATAACAATGATTGAGATGGGATAAAAAGTCAGACTGTCCTGTATTAAACATCTCATAACAGCACAGAAGATACTGCCACAGTATCCTGACCTTCATGTGTCAAATGAAAATAATGTTTAAGCCCTTTTTTTGTTGTTGTTTTTTTGCCTTCACTCACTCTCTCTCTTTTTTTATTTTTATTAAATTAAACCTTAAATGGTTTTTATTGTGGGTTGAGTGAAAGTTTACAGAGGCAGATCATCAGTTTTACATTCAACAAATCATACACCTTGCTTCATTACAATGATTATAATCTCCTCCAAGTACCATCAATTAACAGTATTTCTCTCTATTCACTTTAGCTTTTTAAAAAACAAACAAACAAAACCCACTCAGGCAGATATAATAATTTACATCTCCAAAGGGCTCATTCTGCAAGTCTGCCTCCTGGCTACCAGCTCTTAGTCGCTCTCTTCTTAGTCCATGAATCTAGAGTCCTCAGCCGCTCCCCCTCTCTACGCCCCCTCATCTATGCCTCCATCTCTGGGGCTGTTGCCTCTCTGGATAAGGTCCCACGTTCTGCTTGTGTGTTTTTCTCTTGATGGTCCTAGCATCCTCTGTTTCTGGATTGTAAGATTAACCACTCCCCTTTTTTTGTTACAAACTTCTACCTTTGCAATTGTGATGGTCGCCAATAGTCATGATAACAATTATTCATTATTGATTCTTACGAATCTTATCCCCATCTCTTTTCACCAGACCTATCTAGACAAGATGACAGCTATTCTTCCCCCCCGCCCCCCATACTCTTAAACTAAACTTCCTCTTGAAACCTTGTAAGCCAGTCACTTCTTGCCTTTATTGCCCCATCATTTTAGGTAGTCACTGTCTAAGTTGCCCATCCCTATCTACCCTGTGTACAGAGGGGATAGCATTGATACTTGATGTAAAGACTCTTTCCCTCTCTGTTGGTATTTAGAGTAACTACCGCTCTGAGTATAGGTCAGGTTCATCATGAAGATGTATCTTCTGTCACTGTA